CGACGCGACACAAAAATTGAGATACGAAACACTGCGCGGAATAGAAAAAGACTTGATTGGCAAACCGGTAACATCTTCAGATTGGATGATACTAACAACATGGCGCAGGCGATGGCGTACGAATTTCGAAGAAGAGATTCTTTTCCCGAGGAGTAGATATACGTGTGTCGATTCGTGAATCAATATGACTAACGTCATGTGCGCGGAAGTGGGATGGGAAGGATATGTGGCGAAACGAAGATCTGGCAGTTGACGGAGGACGATATTGCATATTGTGCCGAGATTGGATTCGTACGTAAATGCACGGGAAATCCTGTAGCTTCCGGTAACGTCCCTTTTTTCAGAATAATCCGATACTTTCCCGCCCGACGACGCATCCCGCGTCCACTTTCGCCGATTAGTCGAGTCAACGCCTAAAGGAATCGACTTTTCGAGATAACACGGGGATGATCTCAGACAGAAGGTGGAGAAGCACATAAAATTACCAGAGCATTGTTTGCGATCGAACGACTAAGCGCGGCGGAAATAATAAAACTTGATAAGCCGACCGTAATAAGGAAAGGCTTAAATAATGTTGTCCACGTTCAGGTACGCCCTTCTTTCCGGTGCATACGTCGACCGCGAATCAATTAACAGGTCGATTTGTAAGTAAGAAGAATGAGGTTACTTCGGTAGGAAATTACCGGTCTGAATACGTAATGGGGCGCTATTTCTCCGGGCTTTAACCACGAATTGAGTCGAGCAATTAAATAGGACAGCTTTAACAGGAGTCGGCTTTGCCCGACTGCTGTTTTAGATCTCGATGCTGTATATTGATTACTTTATCCGAACAGGCGTGGCCGACAATAATTACATCTTTTGTATGCGAAAATAAGAAAAAAAAACGAAACACGAATAATATTTACGCAGGTACCTAATACTTTTCTGCGGTATTACGTTCGTATAATTGTTGCATCGGTTACGTTCAGCCTGGTTGAAAGGCGTTTCCGATCGTCTTTGATGAAGATTGGTTGCGCTACTAGGTACTAAAGTCTCTAGTATCAATGATACTTTATAAGTTCTCCATTTTGCATTATTATTCCGCATTTGCTTCGATGATTATCCATTCACTGCTTTCGCAGATGAAACTTACGACGCAATTCAATTTTATGTTATGTACTGCGTATCTCGGAATACATTTTGCATAGGAAGGCTTGCCGATTTTCATCTCACAGGAGGCATAAACGCTGTTTCTTGGTTATCATAAAGTATACCGTTTGTGCTATAACTTGTACGTCATGTTACCACGCGTACAAAATCTAACTTCTTACTTTATAAGAAGGAAACCAGTTTACATTGTCTATGGTAATGCGGATATATACGGCCTTGCGAGATCACGTACAAAGTAAAAACTCGGAAAGGAAAGGCTTTTGAGACACTGCCAATCCTCTAAGAAGCTCTGTTCGGAAACTGAGTCTTGACCGTCACGAAGGAAACAGCGAAAGAGCGTAGCGAAAAGAAAGACATTGTGGAATGAGAATTTAAGCAAATGGAAATACAAAAGTGCACGCTACGTAGGGAAAGGGTCGCGAAAATGCACGACGGCGGAAACTTTCATGCGGATTGCAAGAGAAAGGACAAATGCATCGTAGCGTTTGAACGTTTAGAATTTACAATTTTTTCCTTTTTCACGAAGGGCGTAATACTTCTCTTTCTTGAGGAGTAGGAAATTAAGAACGTATTTGCTATCGAACGTAATCTACATTATGCTATTCTAAATAAAATAAGACAAGATAAAATATAATATTAAAACAAGGTACATACTTTAAAGGAATGCGTCGCCTACTATTGAGTCGTTTTTCAACTGTATGTGTAAAGTTTTTTAATTGAATTTACTGGCCAATGAAGTTATTATGAAACATGTAGTTGTACAGAAAACGATACACTACGCTTCAAAGTAAAAGATATTTATCGGAGAAATTGCATTTCTCTATTTTTTACTCTGTCTCGAATTGCTAATTTGACTCACTTCTTTCCTGACGATAACTGTTAAAAATGAAATAGACAAATTTTCGGTAATGATAAAGTGCTAACATGACACACGTACTATTTTGCGTTTAAAACTACTATTGATAATAATTTTTCGTATGAGGAACGTTGTTTTGTGTTCGAATATATACTGTTAGTTTAATACTATTCTGACATATTCGACTTGGCAACGTTGCAATATGTCAACGTATCTCTGCGCCCTCTATTGAAATAATCAATAAAATGTTAACTGCCAATATGCACCCACTTATTTCTGAAATCCTTTTAACAGATAATCCAAGATTAATATTAATGTAACGTAAGATTACGACGTAGATATTTTGCAGGCTGTGATACAATTACAAACGACCCAGTAGATTCATTTGCAAACAGCATTTGAATAGTGCGCACTTTACACGGCTAAAAGCGACGCTGCCAAGCCTCTGTCTCGCTAGCGTCGGCTGGAGACTATAGTTCTCGTTAAAATGTTATATCTCGTTTAGTACGTGGGCACTCATGCTTTTTCCAATTTCTATGTTACGCTAAGACTTCAAATATATACAAAGAGCACATTTTTATCATAACAAGTACTGTGCAAACATACGCCTTTGCTTGAAATATGGCAGTTTTCCCGCTTTGTCGCGCAATGCCTATGTAAAATGACTGAATTTTGCTAATTTATATCCCAGCAACCGTGTGGGCAAACATTTTTTTTATAATTAAAAAAATTCTTCGCTCTTTGCACTGCAATATAAAAAGTTTTGGGATCAAAATATATTATACAGCGTACATAACGTGTTTCCTTAAAATCAATTATATGTATTTGAAAAAAGTATTCGCGGATCGCCTTCACAAAACTTAATTACAAATTGCGGTCATGTTCTCTGCCAATATTAGTTTGTTCGAAAACAAAAGTAAGCTATCTGTTTGTAAAATGGCGCCTCGAGGCTTCATTTTAACTCGCGCTAACTGTGATCCCCTCTAATATGCAAGTTGCGCATCCTATTTCTGTGCTGCACAGACGTCGGTACGTGATACAAGTTTTGAGCGTCATGGCTGGAAGGCGCATGATATAACGCGCTACTTTATATTCAACGCGAACGTGTCCCCCGATTTCGCTACATTGATCCTCGATCACCCCTTAAAGCGGGGCTTTCAGGTCCTGGATTTTGCCTAAGCAAAATTTCTTCCAAAACTCTACTCGTTTCGCCTCCGTAATCACCGCTCACTTCACGTTACGCTTCAGATTAGAGCGAAGCCAATGAGCAATCGGCGAGATCCAAGGGAATCTCTCGGCGAATGTCTGGCGATTCGGGCGATAATCCCGAGATTCTTACGAGAATTTTTAAGCCGACCGGAAATTTCCTTTACGTTTTGCCTCCTATCGTTCTTTTTTACTCTTTCCACTCCGCTTGCGAAAACAAAATATAATTAAAGTTTCTTATAGAACGGCTATTTTTTTATAAACTCGACGACCAGAACATTTTTCAATTTTACTAAGTTATAATTAAATTGCACGCTTTCGCTTAAACATTAAGTACCGTTTCTTTCTTTCGTGGGAATTATAGGGGGAGCAGTGGGAATTACACAAATTAGATGTACGATTAAGTGTATTTTAACGCTACGCGTCCGTTCTAATCTCGAAATTACAATAATGAAGTACATTTATTTGCATTAAACTGGGCACTATAATTACGATCTATAATCTCTTCGTATAAACAATAACTCATGCTCGCGCGCATTTACATATTATTATTAACATATTATTATTAGTTCTCTTTAATAAGCTTCCGTACGTCGAGTTTCCCCCTTAAAATTTCACATGCAGATTACCATTTAACTTCGCATGAAATATCACAGAAACTGGGATACGCGCGACTCTTATCTTCCCTCTGACGTCGTTCTTGGCGCGGTTTCTTTGTTTTTAACTTTCTCAGCAGTTTGCGCAGACTACACACAGCCTCCTTGATACGCTCGCATATAATGCACAAGCATCCTCGAATCCGAGGTATGTCTGATCTGCCAATTAAAAGTCTCGTAAAACCTCATTTTATATTCCTCGCAATGATGCAATGCTTCATACTGCAGTCCTCGTCGTAGCGGATGAACTTTCGTGCTGGTCCTGTTCCTGTTTGCGCCGTTGCGCGTTATATACACGGTTGAACTATACAAAATTAATTTAAATTAGATTGACAGGCAAAATACTCGTAATCTATTACTAAAATTCGTATCACGTACACGCGCGTTCTATCCAGTTTTAAATTGCGCGAAGCAGTTGGGCATCAGCCTCGGGCGGCCTCGAAATTTCAACGCATTCCGAATGACTGCCTCGATATTATCATTGTATCCTGCTGTTGGATTTCACATAGAAATAATTCACGGGCTTCACCCTCTTCTCTCTCTTCCCCTCTTGCTTGGTGTCACGCTGTCCTTTCAGCGGATTGCAGTCGTGTGCAGGTCTTTATTACCTCTCGCGCGATTCTCGGGGTCTTCCTGTTTACATAAAGCCGTTGTACGTAGATACACGCTGAAGACATTAGAAGTTTGCACGTACGGGCATGCAGTTCGGTGCTCATGCCGCACTGGTTAGCGTTAAACCAAGAGTTATGATATTCAGAGTGAGACAAGCCGGTCTGAGATAGAGTCGCTAACGCGCGCCGTTCCAATTTTGACTATTCCATCTTCCGTAATCTCATACACACGCCGGAAATAACGCTAATTACTTGTTATCTAATCTTATACCTTATATCTATAATGATCATATTATCTTATATCTGTAATTATCCTATAATTATCCTGAAACAGCGAACAACGCTTAACGCGGAGCGAACTCGCGATCACGGAAATATACGAGCGACCTGCGCAATCATTCGATAAAAAAAAAATGTCAGTGACAATCACATAACTTTTACAGTACAGTTATGCCTTTCGTATAAATGTTGCGTCGCTCAAACAGTTGATTTCATTCGCATTCAGCATTTATCAGCAGATGCCGGAGCCATATCGATCTTCCTCCTGGTTTCCCTTAGCTTTACGTGGGTGGAAAATAAATATCAGCCCCTCTCATACGGGCGAGAGTAGTCCCAAGTGAAACGCGCGGACATCTCGAGCGACGTGTGTGTGTCGTCGATCGATCGTCCGAGCTGGATTGTCACTATGTGAACTATGTTGAACGCGGTCTGCGCGCCCGGCGATGACGGACCACGCGTGAGGCTACATCACTATGTTACTACATCCGCGCGCCGTGTCGCCGCCCGTTCTCCACGCGTGACCGAGGTGACGACGAGGACGACGATGTAGCCGTCCGCGGGACGACGACAACGTGCCACGCACGACGTGCCGGTGGCTGGGAGTGGAAGGTCGCGCACTTGATGCGATGTGAGGTTCGTCATGAACCACCCCGCGACCCGGGACCCGTTTGGCTCCAGGTCGCCGGGATGCTCCTACCACACGTGGACCCCGCAGGTCGGTCCACCATGCAGGAACTGCCAGAGGCCGGTCTTGAGCCTGCAGCCTTGCTTGCCGCGACGCCCAGCGCTCTACTCGTATCCGTCCGTCCGAGAGCCGGAGCGCCGTCACGAGTGCCACCCGGATTTCCATCAAGAACGCCACCCGGATTACCTTCAGGATCATTACCAAGAGTATTACCAGGAGTACCATCGGTACGAACGTCCTCGACGGCAGCGGTCGTTCGAGGCGCTGTCGCCGCGTCGTCGCGACGTTGACATCGCCGACGGCCGGCCGGCTTCGAATCCTTACTACCACACTCATCCGCCGCCGAGCTCGTCGACCGGTTATCCCACTTATCCCCTTAACAGATCGGCCAGCGTGGTCCGCCTGGGCTCGCCCGGTGGATCGCTCGGCCAACGCTCTCCGGGAGCGCGCGTCGCGAAGCCGCCCGGTCTTGAACAGTCCCACCGATGGATCGGCGAGGAGACCAAGAGATCCTTACCGTTGCACGTCTACAAATATTATCTCGCGCACACCAAGGAGTACCACCGGCAAAATATCAAGGTAATTAACGCTCGTTCGCGAGGTCAACGATCGGCCGACGTGGAAGAAGATTAATTAACCCGGATAGTCGCTGGCACGTAGGCTACCCCCTGTAGGGGAGAGGACTTCCCGCCTAATTATTTATTTAAGTATTGCAACGTAATGTGTGTTGCGTAATAATTCGTTACCAAGTCAAAAATTTGCCAGCTTAATTGTGTATTACAATTTCCGATGCAATTCTGTATCGCGTACGTGTGGTGTATTGATTAATGTTTCTTGCAAAAGTTTTCGTGAAAGTAATCAAACTCAATTTACGAACGACGCAGTCGTTAATTCTCTTTAATTCTCTGACAGATGCCAGAGTATTTTTCGCATAGTGTGTATCATAATATTGAATGGAAATCACACGTCTTTGTCACGTCGCGCGTTGCGCGTGAGACTTTTTAGTTTTAATTTTTTTAATATTTTTCACGTATCTCGCTTATTTACCAAAGGATCAGATGTTTGTTCGCAATTTCGAAATAGTTTTATTGCGTTTCACTCTGCAGCTAGTTAAAATTTTACCGCAGTTGGAATTTTGTAATTACTTTAGCTTGCTACTTAATAGATTAACATCACATATTATGGGGTTTCACCGATTTTCAAGTTCTGCTCCAGCATGACACTTTCCACTAAGAAATCTTTAAATCTCTAAACACATTCGGTTACATTTGCACGATTATTATTGTAATTTTTAACTAAAAGTAACATTATTTTCGATTTATTTCATTCCTTAGGTGCGTCTGAGACGGAATATTAAAATAATTATCTTCTACCCGAGATTTAATTATCGGATACGTAGAAGCAGCACACTAATTAATCATCGTTATCTCGGTCCCCGCACAAATTTAAGATTCAGGCGAGAAAATGCATTTGCGTTGCTATTCTGCAGAAAGTAGTCCGAAGAAAGATCTCGGATAGAATCTCTATCCTAGCTCTATTCTAACTGGAATTACGGTTCAAGGATACTTCGCGTCGCTATACAATCAGGATATTCTATCCAAGCGTTACGTTTAGCGAGATGGAAGAACGGTCTGCATCACGGAAAAGTAAACAGAAAGGATTTTATTGAGTTTTTTCTTTCTTTTTTTAAATGAGTTGTTTATAACAATTATGCGATGTGTAGCATATTTGAAGGATTTTAATTTTCAATTAAGACCTCGTTAATATGACCATTTTTAACCGTTTAATTTAAAGTACACTTTAAAATAAGTCGTCTAATTTAAAATAAAATTTGTCACTAAAGGAAAGTAAAAGCGCGCTCGGCATAGGGTGACGACGCTATCTTTCTGTTAAAAATTGCAACAAAACGTATCCGTATTAATTTTCGTATAATATTTAACTTAATCGAAATTTAGGATACTGGGATAAGTGTGCTCTAATCACTATTACGATGAAATTACGGACTCATTTACACGCGCGTACATACAAACACGCGCGCACATATATTATAACACAGCTGCATATAATAAATCCACTTTATTTGAAATATACATGATAATTTAGGGAAAATATACTGCGGCAGGTAAGAGCAAAGCTTTGCAACGGAAATAAAATTCTGCCTGGTAATTCGTTTAGAGGTATTTACGGATAAAATTGTTGTTCACGCTCATAATCCACGCGTGAGTTTTCTATAATTTTGCTTTTGCTGTACACGGAATTCTATTAAAGTTACATTTTCGTTGTAATATTTACCGTCGGCCGTGCCGATCGTAAATTATCATAGCGTTGTCGCTATCGCGTATATTTACCGTACAAGCAAGTGCCCTTGAGTCTTCTAGTACCATGAAATGTGTGTGAGTGTAGCACCTGAGCGCGCCTCAAACGCTTCAAAGAGGAAAAGTCCGTGAGCGAACCGACATTTTTCGTCCGCATACTTCGTTATAAAATACAAAGTACTTAGTTCGCACTCGAAACGTTACGGCGTCTTTTCCATTTATCACACTCTATTTGTTATTAGAAACGATGACAAAGAGTATAATTAATTTGTCAAAGAGTGAAGCCCCAATTTTTCTTCAGCGATCCGCTCTTAAGTGATTCAAACAGTTTAATGAACTTTGACTAATTATCGGATGAAGTGGACTTTTTTTTTTATTAATTATTAAATATTAGGGTGGGGCTGTTATAACGAGATAAATTAGATGACTAAATTATGAAACATGGCTGACCCACTTAAGTAAGGTAAATCGCAGAGTCGGGTTTACAGACCCAAATAAAAGAATGAATGCATTTATCTTTCATAAAATCTATATTATACAATATTAAGTTTCATGTGGAGAGACCATATTGGTTTAACACATATGTACATTTACCACATGGTACATATTTGGACTATATGTAGATATATATACATATGTACAAGTCACTGTTGTAACAGTTATTTCAATTTTGAAATTATATGCGAGAATTGTAATCATCTGTTCTACATTTCTTCTATACATCAAGGTAAAATAGAAAAATAAAATTTAATTTGGCTACGCCAGGTACCAAATCCATGAAATACTTTAGCAGTGGGCCGGCCTAAGACAGCGATTTTTAATAATTAATAACTCGTTAACTATTGCAAAACCTGCAAAGTGGTACAGGACTTTTCGACTTACAATTAGTCTAGTCCACTCTATCCCACAATAAGCGTTGATGCGGGTATTACATAACACCCTGTATATGCAGTTATTGCATATTAAAAAACACACAAATATGTGTGTGTAGAGTATAAATTAAATATTTTAACAATTCTTTTAATTGTTTAAATAATTTGATGTGTACGTGTGTGATTGAAAGTATAGAAAGATATTTATTTCAATGCCATACACACACACAACTAGTTTACATATGTAGATAAAGTAAGTTAGTATTTTGAAGTGATAAAATTTCTATATGTATTTCTAAGAGAGTTATATGCCTTTAAAATCTGCAAAGCGTATTGAATGTTAATAGGAAAACAGGGTATTGTTAGTACAGTAAATATTATCTCATACGAGGAATTAACTACTACCCGTGAGAAATCAAACAAATAAATAAAATAAAATTTTCGAGAATTTCGTCTAAAAGCATTAACAGATTTACTTTACGTTTATTGTAGTAGATTTATATTGAAAAAAGCAACCAAATATTGCAATTATTTATATGTAATATAAACATTACAATGGGATCAATATCATGTTCTTGTATTGAATCAATGCATTTTTTTTTGTTACTATTAGAAAGATAAAAATATTGCTATCGATTTTATTTGATGTAAATTCAAAAAATGTTTTAATATTATTTTAGACAAGTATATTTTTAATATTATTTGATGGATCAAGTCAATTTTTTAAACATGCTTAATATGTTCGGTTCTGATTAAATTTTCTATAATTACTGATTCCAGTTTTGAAATATTATTAATAGTTACATAATAATATTTAATATCTTTCGGGTAGTCTCTTTCATATTATCAAAATATGTAATGTAATAATAAATTTAAAAAACGTATTACTTTTAATTAGATCGACGATAATGAAGCTGCCTGGTTATAATTATGATATCATTAGTAACTAAATCGTTATTGAATTTTTGCATTATATCTTTGCAATGAGATCTAATATCTTTTTCATTTACCTCCGGAAGAAAATGAGATATAAAGCACAAGCATAATTTAAAAAAATGTAATATTCAGAGATATAACGTTAACGAAGTTTTGCCTGGTTGTGAAAAATTAAGCTCGCGCAAATCTCATTCGCCAGAACTACAGTGACTAAACTTTTGCTTTTTGCATTGAAATTGTGTGGAACTAAACATTTTTTACGTTATAAACATTTGTATTTTAGTATTTTCAATATAAATATTGGATCGTATTGATTATTGCTTAAAATGGAATATATATTATATTTTTTCAAGCTTGAAATGAAATAGATATGTAACATCTAATAATATAAAAATTAATAGTTTGATAATATAAAAACGATGGCACAGCAACAATATAACAATGCTAATATAAAATGTTAGAACACACGTAACGATTTTAACTGTAATGATTTTATAGAATTAATTTAACGATGCTAACTATTTACCATTTTAACTTTTTTAGGCCGATTTCAACACATATAACTCTTTAACTAAACGAGCATTCAAACGATGTGAAATTTAAGCAATGCATTTCCGTTGCGTTATTGTGTTGGTATAATAGTGACTGTTTTTGCAAAAATCTAATTATCATAATATATTTCAATTAATTTAAGCCAATGATTTGAGCCGATATGTTAAAAAATACCATTCAAAGCATTTTATATTTATAATATCTTTTATTCTAATACTTTTGTTAAAGATATTTACATGAAATTTATTATCTGGAACATATTAATGTTTTGCAAAATTAATTTTTGCAATACTAGCTGTGAACGTAAAATCTAAAGCATTTATTCAAAATTTAAAAATCGTATTTCTATGTAAAGAGCTTTTCAATTTTAATTGCTTAAAATTTAATGAATAAAAGGACATATCGCGCTGAAACAAAACTAATTCAACTAGTAGCTCGGTTTTTCGTCGAATAATAACGAGACAACAGTTGGACGAGCAAGGATAGGGTAGGAAACAAATTATAATGGGTACATTATATAAGCGAGTTAAACCGTTTAGAGAGTTCGATTTATTCACGAGCGCGCGAGTGCTCGTGAGTACACGACGCGGACGGAGGTTGCGCGGACGCAACTACATACTCGTATTAGACTTGTACAGACTTATGCACTAATGCCTGTACCTCAGTTTTACTAGGATTCACATTTTCACATCTACACATCGATAAGTTCCAGGCTGCAGCTCACACAGCTTCTACAGAAGTCTGTGGTAGTACACATGATGTAAAAGTACAAGGTGAAACATTGCGCACGTAACCAATTTTTGGGGCCAATTGTTTATTGGTTCTTGCTGCATTCAACCGCAATGATTTGCAGTGTGAAGTTTTGGGGAAAATTTCTGATTGGTAACGAGTGCGCATGCACGAGAATGTTACACCTGGTGTAACTAAATTCTTGCATCATGGAAGTATCAGAGAAAAACCTGAGAGCGGCCAC